TTTCATTCAGTGTTTAGTTAGTGACTGTTGGGAATACCTAGCAATATAAATGATGGCATACCAAACAGAAATTAATATCTATTAAATGTATATGCTGCCCATCACATGATAAGGCAACTCTGGAGATAAAAAATTATAGAGACAGTAGATCGGGGTCTTCAAACTTGGCCCTTTTATGACTTGTGGACTTCAGCTCTCAGAATTTCTCAGCCAGACATGCTGGCTCGGGAATTCTGGGAGTTGAAGTCCACAAATCATAAAAGGGCCAAGTTTGAAGACCTCTGCACTAGATGTGAGGTAATGAAAGAAATATCTTTTTTCCCATAATTGACAGGATTTTTTTTTCTCCAGCATGAAGGCCAGCTGGGTGATTTTGGTCCAGTCACTCTCACTCAGCCCCACTTACCTCACAGAGTTTTTATTACGACAAAAAATAGAAAGAGGAAAGAATATTGTTTGTGTTGGCACCTTGAGTTATTTATAAAAATAATAAAGGCAGGACATAAATAGATAAATAAAATAAAGTGTTTACCAGCTGGATCTTTTCCACTTTTCTCCTCATGTTTTTTATCCTAACAAATATAGTGCTAAAATAATGTAAATGGTGAGGGGCAAGTTTTGTGTTCATGATACTTAAAAAAATAGTTGGAACAGTGAGAAAGAACTGCTTTTCTTGCAATTTGCTGCTTATAATTACCCACCCACCCACCATCTTCAGCTTAAAGCTAGTAGGTAAAAAGCATTAATCTCATTTATGTGTAATATGTAGCCACAAGTTTTGATCCATTAGATTTGATACTGTCTCTTCTTTATAAAAGAATATTTGAGGAGTGGTTGTTTTAAGCTTAAATTATTTCTTCTGGTTTGAGGTTTTGTATTTCTTCCTCAGCTGTCATCACACAAATATAGCTCAGCATGTTTAATGATGACAAAATTAACTCCACTTTTTATTTGATAAGAAGCTAATTAAATAGCTTGGGCATTAAGCCACACAAAACACTAACAAAAATTAAAACTAGCAAACATAGCCTAGGTGGTGTGCACATGCTTGTAAGTGCTGCCTTTAAAACACTTATTCCACTTGTAGCAAAGAATGTGATATTTTTGCATTAAACGTATTGCTCTTATTTTTAAACAAAGTGAAAGGCAGAATAGGAAACACTAAAGTTGTTACTGTTGTGAATTTATGGATATGAATTTCCTCTTGTCCTCAATTTGTATCTTGTATAACCCCTTTTTATTGTAGTGTTTAAGGTGAATAAGCTATCAAGGTCACTTTGGAAAGCTAGATAGCTCAAAGGCTCTTATTTCTATGACAACCAGGGGGTAGGAAGGCAATATCCTGCCTGCGTCTTATCTCTTTTGCCACTTTCATGAACATAACCTCTTGGTCCCATTTCATCAGTTTTAGTTATTTAAAGTTTAAATCATAAAAGGTTGCCGAGCCCCATGCTGTTTAACATTGTAAGCTGGTCCTTTGGTATGGGATCAGAGAATTTAAAGGTACAAAAAATAATATAGTTTTGCAAGACAGAATCTTCATCAACGATCTTGGTTCCAATTTTGAAATCAAGCAATTAATTATAGGTTAATTAATTAATAATATACTATGCATCTTTTGCTTCACTGTAACAGGAATAAATTAACTATACTTTATTTAATCAGAAGCTCAGTTAAAGGGTGTATGTGTTGATATTTCAAGAATTAAAGCTAGGAAACTTGAAAACATTCATTGAGTTTTGCAGTATGAAAAATGCTTATAATTCCTGAGCATGAAAAAAAAAAAGATCCAGCAAAAACTTCTTTAATATTATAACAACTTTAGGAAACGTGCTGAAATTTGTCATGGGGAAGGTTCTGAAGATATTTTTGTTTCTACAAACATCTTAATTCTATCAGTTCTGGTACATTTCTAAATATATTAATTTCTAGAATGTATTCTATTAATAAATGTAATTATATTCTTTCTATGTCACTGGTCTTTCAGTAAATTTCTAAATATTTAAACATTCATTTGAATTTCTGTATTTTTGTAAAATACAGTGCACTTTTGTTATAAAATTTATTCCATTTCTATTCAGCTTTAACTTAGAGAGAGAAAAAATACATAGGGTGATCCTGTAATTTCTATCACTGAAAATAAAACCAGGGGCAGCTTTTGGCATACCAATTCATCTTAAACAAACTTTCTGTTAACTTTAAGCATAATTTAAATAACTTAACTGCTCAGTACAATGAAATACACTGTGCATCTTTTATTTCATTGTAACAGGAATAAATGCATTGGTGCTACAGAACTTAAGAAGTTTCTCTTTGAATGATGGCAAATGTCTCTTAAAACTCCTGCACCATTATACATACTACATACATACATACATACATACATACATACATATAGTACATACATACATACATACATATGTTGTTGCCCTTCAAATGGCTGTCCAGTCTCTTCTTAAAAACTTCCAGTGTTGGAGCATTCACCGCTTCTGGAGGCAGGTTGTTCCACTGGTTAATTGTTCTAACTATCAAGAAATTTCTCCTTAGTTCTAGGTTGCTTCTCTCCTTGATTAGTTTCCATCTGTTGCTTCTTGTCCTGCCTTCAGGTGCTTTGGAAAATAGCTTGACTCCCACTTCTTTGTAGCAGCCCCTGAGATATTGGAACACTGCTATCATGTCGCCCCTCGTCCTTCTCTTCATTAAACTACACGTACCCAATTCCAGCAACCGTTCCTTATATGCTTTAGCCTCCAGTCCCCTAATCATCTTTCTTGCTCTCCAACAATAATAAACAAATATGAAGTATCCCCAGTCTAATAATGTTCTACAATGCAGTCCTAATTCTTCTAATTCAGTAAATTAACTGAAATAATACTAAATATTGTGATCAGATCTTTCCTATCTTTTCATCTACCTTCTTCATCTACATCCTTTGACATAGATTAGGCTGAGAAATTTATTGTTCCAAAGTCATCCAGTGGGTTTGCATTGTTGCTGGGGAGTTAAACTTGGGTTTCCAGGTTCTAGTCCAATATTTTAAACACTCTATTAAACACCAAGAAAGAAACAGAGGTCAACCAACAAATAACCATTATTAGTGGGCCACAAACCTGTTTGCTTCAAATAAATAGAACTTCCTTTAAGGTGAGAAGCTTAATCAGCATCATTGCTTGATGGGGCAATTTTTAAAAAGTTTTGGCATGTAAGTGTAATATATGCATAGTCTTGTGTTTGTTTATTATTATATTGTTGTTCTTTTTTTTAACTGTAAAAAGTTCCGTTTTCTCTTTTCTTTGGGACCCAACAGTCATCCTTTTCCATCTGTCAATTCCCATCTTGACCTATATCTAATAATAATCTGAAGCAAGTCTAAGGACCTTGCAATAATCTTTTTGATTCCATCCATCTGCCTTCCTCTTCTTTTACTTTCCTTGAACCTGTTAACCATAATTGTTTTTCTTGATGTAATTAATCATCTGCTCACTTCATATACCCGAGATATGTTAGTTTCCACTTGTTGATCAATGCCTTGAAAGAGAACAATTAGTCTTTATTTGGTCCAGAGCTGATTAATTGGCCTTCTTGTAGTCTACTGCAACATTATGAACTCTTCCCAAATCCATAGTTCAAAGTCATATCTTTTGTTGTTATTCTTTCTCAGTGTCCAGTTTTCAAAGTTGTACATTATACAAGAAAGGTCCCTGCTTTAATTATCTCCTATATATTTGTCATTATCTTTTCCCACAGATTAATCTTCCAACAATCTTCTACTTTTATATATTAATGAGCCAAAGAAAATAAAACTATCTACCACTTTCATATTTCCCATCAATCATAAATCTATTGAGCATACAGACTGACATTATCTTTCTCTTAATATTTAATCGGTAACCTTGATTTATTTTTACTTTCAGTAGAGGTTTTTTAAAGTGTTCTTTATTGTTAGCTAACAAAACAATTTTCACTCTATAATGAAATTTGAAAATCTTGTCACTTTCAATTTTCTTACTTCATTTTTATCAATCCTGCCTATGGCATATTTTCTATATAAATAGATTAGATATGGAATCAAAATAGGCATTTATTTATTTCAGTCTATATAGATGCCCATCTCACAAACATGACTCTAAGGTGCTCACAAATTAACAACAACAAAACCACAAACTCATATGAATTTAAAACAATTAAAATACAAATTAACTCAAAACATTTAAAAACATGAGAGAGTGCCAACCAACAGTTGACAAACAATATAGCCATCTCACAGGCTCCCCACCTCCACTGGATTTCTAAGCCTGATGGGACAGCCATTTCTTTGAGGACTTCTTAAAGGCAATAAGGGCTGGGGCCAATCTAATCTCAGGGAGGAGGATGTTTCAAAAGCTAAGTGTTGTGACAGAGAAGAATCTTTTCCTGGCTCAGATTCTTTCATTCTCTTCCTGTAATGGAATGTGTAAATGACCTTGGGGAATGAAGGAAAGAGATACTGTCTAGGAAACAAGAGAGGTAGAAACCTCCAGCAGCTTAAGTCAGAGAAAGAAACTTAGGAAGAGTCCACCTTAAAGTAACCTGCCATACATTCTTGTTCATTGTAATAATTTATCCTATTTGTTATTTGTTGGTATGTGTATGTATGATTTTGTGTCTCTGTGTGTCTGTGTATAAATATATAATGAAAAATTTAAAGCTGTTAATTTAGAAAGTGCACAGTAAAGTTGTAAAAATGTCTTTGTTCTACACGTTCCCATAGTACTGGAACTATTATGAAGAACCTATTTATTAGCCTCATGCCTTTTTGTCTAAATATTGGTGGACCTGTTCTTAATTCAGCTTCTATAGATACAATAATTATTACAAAATTTTATAAATAAATAAATTTCAGGTTCAACAGATACAATAATTACAAAAAAACCTTATCTTACACAAAAGTTTTAAAAACATTTCATATAGATATGTTATAATTACTGTCTATCAAATTACGCCTACATATTTAATATACCAAACATATTGTTTGAATAAAAGAACTTATTTATAATAATATATGTAAATATTTAAGTAAATACTTGCATTAAAGTGATAGCAAACTACAGTACCAAAATGAATATTGAAAGTATTTTTATATATCTTTAGTTTTTCCTCCAAAATATTATATTCAAAACATCATTTCCAGAGATGTTGCAATTTCAAATAGAAAACTAAAGTGGTTGAATGACAGTCTTTGTATAACAGGAAGAGTCAAAGGCAAAATAAAGACAATTGTTTGCTGTAAATTAGTATTTTGCTGTTTGAAATAGTTATCAAATAAATAAAATACAGCAAATAGAATATGGTAAAGCAGGTATAGAAGATAAAATGAACTCTGCTGAACAATAAAACTGTTCCATAAGGCAACTGGCCAGACAGCAGCACCCTGAAAGAAGGTGTTGTATAATTTGGGAATAGCACAGAAAAATGATTGTTCCTTACCATAGGCATTCTCCAGTATCTACGGGACGAACATAGGAGGATTTCTCTAAATTACTATAATAAAAGGAGGCAGTTTCTGAACTCAAGGAAGCTAATATTATTCAGTGTTTATTGCTATCACTGACTTGTCCTGAACTTGTGCACATGTATTTGTGCATTTTAAATCCTCTTTCCCCAATATATTAAACTACAGCTCCGCATGTACAAAAAAAATCCTCTATCTTTCATCATAAAGAAACATTTCTTCATATTCCATTCTTACCTGATTTGCTTAACAAACCAATGCCTTTGCTCAACTGACACATACATCTCCATTTGTAGTTATATCTTCAGTTAGAACCAAAGGAGAAAAAAATGAGCTTTGAAGCTACCCCTTAAAAAAAAAAAAATCATTTTCTGACAATTTTTCTTTCTTTGCTAACATAAATCCATTTTTTCCTATACTTTCTCTGATAGCACAGTAATAGGAATGGAACTGGGCAGGTCAGGAATGGTGGTTGGCCCAGTCTTGACCATGCATCCTACAAATTCTGCTCAATGCCTTAATCTGTTCTGAGTAACACATATACTACATATGCCACTATGTATATACTATTGGCAAATTAGGTATCCATCTTAAGTGAAGAAGGTTGAATTTATCTTTGTTAAATTTAACTGCATAATTTTTAATCCTCTTTGTTTAATCTATCAAGGTAATTTTGATTATGGTTTGACTTCCAAGGTATTAGATATTAGTATTGTACAGTGCTGAAATGAAGAGATAGAAAGATAAGAGTATATGAAACATATTTGTTGGAACTCCATAAATTCCATCACAAAAGTTGAGCAAAGAAGTTGCTTTTTAAGAGAGTTGCTAATAGATGCAAGATGATCACACCCACCTGTCATCTCTCCTCAGCAGTCTGGACTGAAGCTAATTACAGAAACACATAGGGATTCAGGAACTTCTACCAAGTTATTAATTTAATTTAATTTAACTTTATTATTTTATTTTAAAGCCAAGAAAGCATCAAAAAAGAATCTGACAATTGTTGAATATCACGTGCAATTTCTATTTGTAATGTTCATATTTCTTACATTTTTTTTCCTACCACCCACACTGTGTAAGATACTAAAAGCAATTCTCTTTTAGGAAAAAGAAATACCTATTCCTTGATTCAATAATGATGTACAGTAATCTACTTTTCATTTTAGGAAAATTAACTCCCCCCCCACTGAATCTGGATCACAATCCTGTAAGCTACCCCACTCAATTTTGAATTGGTAAGTATTCCTTCCATCTCTGCTTTCCAATTTTTAATAAAAATAATGAAGAAGAAAAGACTCCTAACTGGACAGTGCGGGAGTCCATATAAAAAATTCTGGTATTGAAATAAGGAGAAACAATGAACACTCTTGATGTATGATTTTTGAACCAGTTATGTATCTCATATCAGACTCCATAAATAAACCACTTGTTAATCAGAATATCCTGGCATACTTTATAAAATAGTTTGCTGAAATCAAGATATGTCATGTTTAGAGCATTCTCAAAAATCTACTAAACATGTTAGTAAACTTTTTTGCTGAATTCTGTTAATTAACACACTGGTTTTAAGGTCTTTACTGATAAATACAGTATATGGTTGATCTGTTCCAGATATCAATCTCAGACTGACTTGTAATTATCTAATTCCTTTCCCCACCCTTTTCTCTCATCACTTAACACTTTACTTCTTCTCCATGATTTCTGAAAGAAAATAGCTCTCTCAGTGTGAGGGGATGCATTTAATCTGGCCCTGGAAATTCTAACAGTCAAAATAAACAGAAATTCCTTGACTATTATTCTATCAATCTCAAACTTTAGTGCTGTCCCTTCATCCTGTTCTCCACAAATGTTTATTGGAGCACATATGCACTTCTTCATTTTTATTTTAAACTCAAAGGTTCTTTTTATTGATCATACCATTCTTGGCAAACTTTAGCTCATTTTGAGCTTTAGTTTCATTGACATCATCTTTAGAATTCTAGACTGGCTTTTATTATGTGCATTTCTGAGTATGAAAGTCATGTGAGCAATCCATTTATTTTTGGAATATTAGATCCACAGTGACCATCAGACATTTAATTACAATAAAACTACAGCAGGAAAGTTTTTATGAGATAAATATATTCACATGTAGGATTATATTAAAAATGAGAAATTAGGACATACTTAGCCTATAGTTTAAGCCATTTATACTCATGTACATCAATATATCTTAATTATTTTAATTTTCAAAACCGCATGAAATAGTAATGCAAAATACATATTGTCCTTTTTAAGTAACAAAGTCTTTCATAATTTTAATACTTTGAAAATGATAATATTTTCTCCATGAAAGTTTTTTTTCCTTAGACACCTTAGATGCTTAATTAAGTTGGAAATTTCCAAGTTTTATTCTGCTGGTGACTGCTAGCTTGTTAATTAGTTGCCTCTTTCATTGATTAGCAACTTAAGCAGCACTCAATTATAAATGGCTATAATGTCTGCCTTGCTTTAGAGTCAAATTAATATGATATAGACTGTTTAACTATTGGTATGTCTAAATTATTTATGATGGCAAAACTACATTTTATTGTTAATCAACAAAAGTAACATAAAATAAAAACATCTAAATGAATTATTTGTGTTTTGTTTTATCATAATTTACACCAAAACTTTTTGAAAGTTAATGCAATTATGAGCCTACTTTCACTGTGAAAAACTATTGCTTAATTTCAGAAAGTGCACAATATCTGAGGCGCACATTAAAATACATTAACCAAAGAACATAATCTACTGAATGCATTTTAATTAAGAGCTAAACAAGGGAACAGAACATTATATTCAAATTCAAAATTAAAGAGCGAGAAAACAAGTATGATGACAAGTTCCTTTTTGGATAAGAATGGGTATGTCTCATCTTCTTTCTCTATTTTTGATTGGAACTGGAGAACCCATTTGTGGAATTCTATTCGCAAGATGCTCATCTGGAAGAAATTGGGATGAATGTTCGTTTAGTTTATATTCATTATGCTATCTAAATTACACTGGTCACCAGGGGGCACCATGTTACCCCTTTCAACCTTATTAGGATTCATCAGAGGTAGTAAGATGGAATTTTCTGGGATTCAAAAGCTCTACCAGGAAATGAACTCACATATCTTTGCCCTTGGATCACTACTTAAATTGAATTAACTCTAGGTACTCGCACCAGTAGCCTGCAGGAAGGGATAAAGAGAAATTTCTCATCTTCCAAGTCTGTAAAACCCTGTACATGGGGACATACAAAGTAACCCTTGCATCTCTCTGCTATAAGACCTCAAGAAAATGTATAAAACCACTCTAATTGCTGCTAAGCTGATCTAGAAACCACAGACAGGAGAGCATGTAAAAGATCGCACTTGTAGCCATAATATAAAGGATTATAAGCCAACATTTCCTCCATTTAATTTAAAACAATTACTGTGCATTGCTTGAGATGTGATCGCCAAAAGAGTCTTCAGAACATATAAGAATGAAAAGGTTGCATCTGTCTGCAACCCTTTAAAACAGCTATGTAAAAGAAGAACTATACTATTCTAGGACACGGTGGACATGTGTTTTGCTGCTGGATACTCTAAAGTGCCTTTTGAAGTTTGAATCTGAAGCCCTTGAACTCTTCATTATACTAGAGTGGCTCTGAGGAAAAACAAGTTAATCCATGCCATTTAAAGACAGAAAAAGGGGTGTAAAATCTGAAACTCTAAATAGCTGTTTATGGAATTGTATGTTGCACTCTGACTATGAAAAAAGATGAAGAGATCAATTGAAACTTGGCAACAGTTTTTCCTTTTTCCTATAGCTTACAACATGAAAGAGTATGTCAGTAAGAGAACAAGAGGGGGAAAAAAGAAAAGGGAAGGAAAAAAACAGATGTCAGAAAAATAACAAGTGCCTTCATGCAGTTTTTTTAAAAAACACAGGACCTAACAGGTTACTCTAAACAGAGTTGCCCTACTTTGTTTTAAATCAGTTACATATTGCCCAGAATATGACATACAGTATGACACACACTTTCATGACAAAAAATAGCAAACACCATACTAAGAAAAATATTTTTATTAGAACATATCAAAGGTTACAAAACTGGCTAATGCAAGAAAACCTTTCTTTAGTTTCTAAATCTAATCACATTGGCTCCTTAATAAAATTTCTTCTTTTTGGGAAAGTACAAGCAATTAAAGCTGGGTCTTATAATCTTAACTTTATTGCTGTTTTAAATATTGAGTTCATTGTTTTATATTTCATTTCTAATTTTAAACAGGGCTTGATCAAATAATGGAATTAAAACAGGTTATTTAAAAATGGACAACCCGGCGGTTAGAATTTTATAGTGCCCTTTGGATATGCCTTTATTTTTACATTTCTCCACCACAGGAACAAATTTAAGTAATAACATATCTCAAGAAGGCATTTTTTTTTCTCAGTGTGCTACAGCACAGGGGAAAAAAAAAGCAACGGTTTTGATTATTGCATTTTTTTAAGCCTGCATTAGTTTAATGTTGTACTTGACACAAAAAAGTCTTTTGCAGCAAGGATCCAACCTATTTCAGATGCATAATTAAAGTCCTCTCCCATTTCCTGATTTTGAAAGAGAGTGAAACCAGAAGCAAATCCCTCAGCTCATTCATATGCCACCTGCCTGAGTAATCTAACATTCCTCTTCTTCCCTCAGTGCCTGAGCTTAAATCTATCCATTTAATAACTCACCCTGAACAGCTTCCCATCTCACCTGCCTGAACTTGAAACCAATCACAGAACATTCATTATAGCTGCAAACTGTCATAGTTCTCTCCGTTTGTATAATACTTCTTCCTCGCTGTATCTGTCCTGCCCTGTCACCTCTTCGTGACAGAGTTTGTTGCATTGAATGTCGGATTCCAGGGAGAGCAGAAGACAATTCCAGTCTGGAAATACTTAACACTGAAATAGGAGGATACTAACCGGCAATGAAGGAATGATCTATGGCCTTGGATAAATATCCTTTCCATATACACTCAAGGGAATAATTTATGCATTAAGTATTGTTAGGACAAGCAAACTTATATTAATACACTAATTAGAAGGAAAAAGACAGCATTTATTCAGAGGCATAAGCATTTTTCATGTTTAAGTGCTCGGTAATTAAAAGTCATTAGCAAACAGACCTCTGGAAATCTTTTTATAATTTTTGGTAAAGTTTTAAATTTACACTGTACTAGGGATAAGGATGTTCACAAAAAGAGGATAAAGGTTTGTTGTTTATGTATAAAAGAATAATTGAACAAACCATAGAGTTAAGATTTAAGATGTATAACATGCAGTAATTTCTGCAATTATTTAAAAGTTAATAAAAACTGGAATTTGAAATAGTTTTCCTTAGAAAAATAGTTGGTTATTTAAATTTTTGCTTATGTTTCTATAATATAAGACAGTGAAATCCATATAGGAAAAAAAAATACTATGCTACCATTCATATAATCATTTTATCCTGGAAAGAAAAAATAGTAAAAATTCTCAGATTTTTACAGAATATAAATTTAATCACACAATTACTTAGTAATGTAAGCAAAAGGGGAAGATATCAAATTTAGGAAATGAATTATAATCTTAGTATCACCATAACCTTTCTGTGCTCTAAGACATATTTTAAACAAATTATCTACTTGAACTTGCTGCCAAGCAAAAAGTTTAATATCTTTTAGCACAAAGCCATCACATATTATAAAAATGGACAAATTGGAAAACAGCAGAATCTTTCTTTTCAAAAACTACTTTGAAGAAATGTTGATTCCACTAATACAGATACTAAGCAGCAACTTGTGATTAAGGGAAACAAATCTTTTTAAATTTAAGTTGACAATTAACTTCAGTGGACTAATGAAGTCACTATATTTTTTTATCTTTCATAGGTATATTTAACAAAATATTTTTAACATAGTTTAAAAAGTAGGAAAAAAGATATATTTAAAAATGATCTCAAGTGAAAAGGCACTGTTAAGTACAACATGAAAGAGAAAAAGCACAAAACCAGCTCAGAACAGAACAGAATAACAAATTTGGAAAATATCTTGGAGGTCTTCTAGTCCAACCTGCTCAAGCAGGAAACTGTACACCATTTCAGACAAATAGTTGTCTAATCTTTTTCTTGGTCATTACTGCTCAAATGAAGACAGAAGGACTGACATTGGACAGCTATTGTTTTATGAACTTCATAAACAATTTGCTGTGGTTGCCTGGCCTTCCCATATGCTAAGTATCAAGTATTAAAACACACAATGTTCTTTCCCCCCCTTAATCCAAATTTGAACTGCACACTTTACAACCTGTAAACCACACCTTAGCCCTACAGATAAATAAGCAATAAACCAGCCAGCCCACTTAGAGAGGGCTGCTTGGCAGAGCTACCGTTTTAAAACTTTGCATTTTATGGCAAATACCAACTTTTTATGCCATCTTTCCATTCAAACATTGTTACTGGCTTGCTTGATGTAAAGAAAAATATGACATCTAGGAAAAAAATTAATGTAGCCGACAAAGTATTTTGGAAAATGTATTGCTGGTCCAATATTGGTCTTCAGAAACTTTTGCTCAGCTGAGATGAGCAGAAAATCTCACATACAGTTTGCTTAGTGACTGTTTGAAATTACAACAGCACTGAAAAAAGTAACTTATGACCTTTTTTCTCACTTATGATCTTTACAGCATCCTGTGGTCACATGATTTACATTTGGAAGATTTACAACTGACTCATATATATGACAGTTGCAGTGTCCTGGGATCCTGTGATCCTCTTTTGTGACCTTCTGACAAGCAAAGTCAATGGGGAAACCAGATTCACTTAACAATTGTGTTACTAATTTAACACTTAAGAAATGTGGTAAGAAAAGTCGTAAAATGGGGAAAAACTCATGTAACAAATTTCTCACTTAGCAACATTAATTTTGGGTTCAATTGTGGTTGTAGGTTGAAGACTACCTGCAGTATATATATAACTTGAAACTGCCATAGTATAAACTAATGCACTCTGACACATTCTGACCACTATAAACTAACACGTTTTTCCTCTTTTAATAGTGCAGTATGTAATTTCTGTAGGGAATTGAGTGTGTGTGTCTATGGTGAAATAGTGACCAGTTCTGCTTTTTTCATCAATATTCTGTGCAAATACATACAATATGGAGCTTGCACTGTCACTCTGTACTGTCTTTATAACAAAATGTTGATTTGCCTCAGATACCTGTTACAATTAGCTCAGTGTCCCCCCCCCCAAAATGTTTTGGTTTGCTTTTGTGAAATTTAAAAACCCAGTGCAGCTTAAAGGATCAACATTTCTGACCACATGAATCTCATCGCTCATTATATAAAAACTGCACACCACATATTAAAATTTTAATAAATCCTTGTGTCCATCAAACATAGGCAAGTACAGGGAAGCTTTATACAAAAAGGGAGATGAAGGCTGAGAGAAAAAATATCAAAGCTTCCAAATTAATAGAAAATAAGGATCAGGGATTCCATTTCTGTATTTTATCATTCACTTTGTAGTTGTACTATTCATTATCAGACATAATAAAAATCGGTCAAACTCTAGTACCTTCAAAAAGTGCTTTCTTATAGTTGGAGTATTTAGCATGGGAGAGAGAGAGAGAGAGAGAGAGAATAGTTGCTGTCAACAAACCACTCAAAATTTACACACACACAAAACCGAAATGAATGGTTGAACTTTGAAGCACCTTGAACCTAAGCATGGAAAATACTAGCAGTAATAAAAGGAGGAAGTTAAAAGCATTGTGGAATCTATTCAACCATTTTAGTTAAATGCATGCCAGGAAGACAGCTATTGTTGCTCCTGTATCATTCATATACGAAGCACAGTGGCCTTTGGAATCAATGTGCAATATTACAGTGGCATTTAAAAATCAGAAATAAATGAGGGAAAAAAAGTTTTAAAAATGACACATTACCTGCAAGGCACAACATGAACGATTGCAGTACGAGCAGTTCCCATGGTAACCTCATTTTCAGTTTCTGATGTCAAAGGAGACCCACGTCCAATATGTAGTGATTAGAATGCTGCTTCTTTTAAGTTATATCCGATCTTTAATCTGGAGGAACAGAAAGAGCAGTATTACAATAAGATTTAGGATTACAGCTCCTTATGCTCTTTGAGACTCTCTGCTTTTCTCCCCTTGATTTAAAACAAATTTACACCTAAAGGAAAAGAGATGAAAACAACTGGTATAAAAGTAAAATCTGCCACAGCAGCAGCAGACACATCAATTACTTTCAAGTTGCTTGGAGGTATAGAAGAAACCACAGCCCTCAAATCATGTCACTTTTCTAAGAAAAAAAAAATGCATTTCTGAGTTACAGTCAGAATAGAAGAAAGGATATAGCAACAAAAAAAAAATAGATACTGTTTGGAATTAGCTCTCTACCCTATCCCATACTCTCTACCCTATCCCAGCTCTATTAAATTCTGGGTCAAGTCACTGATCCGGTAAACATTCTTGAATTAATTGTTAAGTCCACTAAGTGTTGATCTCTACCTCTTTTATCTTTTGACACCTTTGAATTTGCTAACTGTTACAGGAAACAAATGTTAACAAGGACAGATGGCAAGTCCCTCCAGGATGATAAATGCCCTTCAGGGTGAGCAATTAGGGGCGGCTATATATCCCTCCCTTTTCACTCTGAGAGTCCAGGCATCCTCTCCTCATAGCTCATGGGCTGAAGCTGCAGAGAAAGCTTGAGATTAATCGCTCTGCTGTAACTGAAACCTTTTGCATGACAGTTGGCTGTCAGTCCAGTAGACCTGCAGGGCAGCTGGGGGAACAGGTCAGCAAGATGGCAAACCACTTAAATTGTTTTAGCTATTTGTCTAGAGATAATGTATTTTTAGCAACATATGACTCTATTCTGTAGCTCTGGGTGACTGTGAGTACATATTGTCTTGAATATGTGTGCGTATATTTTCCCTGCCTCCTATGGTCGTGCCTTCACTGCACTTCAGCATGTCTGCTCTATTGAATCCATCAGATGTTTCAAACATGATAACTGTTCTGATCTATGGAGATCTTTTTTTAATGCATAAAATGGTGTGCATGATATTTGGTGTAAGATATACACATCTTTTAAAGTATCCACATCAAGAAAGTTTGTTGTTGTTGTTGTTAATTACGAAGTCGTGTCCGACCCATTGCGACCCCATGGACAACGTTCCTCCAGGTCTTCCTGTCCTCTACCATCTTCTGGAGTCCATTTAAGTTCACACCTACTGCTTCAGTGACTCCATCCAGCCACCTCATTCTCTGTCGTCCCATTCTTCTATTGCCCTCAATCTTTCCCAGCATTAGGCCCTTCTCCAGTGAGTCCTTCCTTCTCATTAGGTGGCCAAAGTATTTGAGTTTCAACTTCAGGATCTGGCCTTCTAAAGAGCAGTCGGGGTTGATCTCTTCTAGGACTGACCGGTTTGAACGCCTTGCAGTCCAAGGGACTCGCAGGAGTCTTCTCCAGCACCATAGTTCAAAGGCCTCAATTCTTTGGCGCTCAGCCTTTCTTATGGTCCAACTTTCACAGCCATACATTGCAACTGGGAAAACCATGGCCTGGACTATACGCACTTTTGTTGGCAGGGTGATGTCTCTGCTTTTTAGTATGCTGTCTAGATTTGCCATAGCTTTCCTCCCCAGGAGCAAGCGTCTTTTAATTTCTTGGCTGCAGTCCCCATCTGAGGTGATCTTTGAGCCCAGAAAAATAAAATCTGTCACTACCTCCATTTCTTCCCCATCTATTTGCCAGGAATTGAGAGGGCCGGATGCCATGATTTTGGTTTTCTTAATGTTGAGTTTCAAGCCAACTTTTGCACTCTCCTTCTTCACCCACATCAAGAGGCTCTTTAGTTCCTCTTCATTTTCTGCCATTAGAGTGATATCATCTGCATATCTTAGATTGTTGATATTTCTCCCGGCAATCTTAATTCCAACTTTTGATTCATCTAGCCCTGCCTTTCTCATGATGTGCTCTGCATATAAGTTAAACAGATTAACAATAAATAAAACAATGTAATCATATGTTCTTATTAGAAATTCAACTTCCTAATGTCTGGGGTTTAAGACAAACACCATATCTAATAGAAAGTGACGTGATAATATCAGAGGAACTTGCCTGCTTTTGTAAATTAACATTATTTAGTCTCTGCTAAAGTTGGGTTCAATGTGCTGACATGAGGAAGAATTCCTTTCTTGAAAATTGTAGAAGTTGTTTCAAAAGAACAAAGGATAACCCAATATATGTCAGTATTCTCACATGTATAGTAATTAAACTGACTGAAGATAGGAGGAAAATTGCCTATCAATAGAAATGAGCATTTTAAATATAATGATTACAATATACTATGAGTTGGATAGATAACTTGTTACAGACTGTAACTGCCTGCAGTTGTCAATTCTTATTGCAACTGACATATATAAATGGCATCAAAATGTATGGGGTACATGCATTACTTGTATAAATGAATATTTTTAGTATACAAACTGCAACTGTATGGACAAATATGATCCCACCAAAATGTCCTTTCCACTCAAAGCAACTGTCTCTGTCCAAAGAGAATATTTTGTGGAGTATCTATCATGATCACAGCAGGAAGGAAGGATTGAACTTTTATTTCTCCGCTTCCACAGCTGAAAATGCACAATTCTGTTATTATTTACATTTCAAAAGTGCAATTAACATCACAAATGCCATTGATACGGGGAAACTACTGTAGAAATAATTCTACCATATTCTATTTGCTGTATATGATAGGACACAAGCTACTCTGAGTCAGAAGGAATCTCTTTGACAGCTATTGATATAGGAATCCATTGATATAGGAATTTAAGCCAATCCCACTGCCTTACAAGAGGATTCCCATTATTATCATAGCATAGAATCATGCAAAATTAGGAGCTAACTTTTAAAACGTGGAACATAGGTTATTAATTAGGTGTCTTCTTGAAGTCAATACCTGACATATGCCTGTCTAAAAAATAAGCTTCCTTGATGTACAAGAAATGTGAATTCCAAAGCCTCCTCAGTGATGTTGATATAACATTTGTTCCATTCATCCTTTGTTACCTAATATTGGTCTTTATTCTCACAACTAAATCTTGATTTTAGCAATATTTCTTGTATGTGTGCATGGCAGGTGGATGCCTTGCTAGATTTTGTTAGCTAGTAAGGCAGCTTTGTGAGCACAATCACCATTGGATGCTGGATCTACGTCAGTGTAATCTCTCCAGAATAAAGGGGAAATCGTTGATACATATGTGATTCCACACAGCCTCTCTTTATGAGTAGACCATGGACACTGTCATTTTTACAGATGGTTTATGAATGGAGTAGCTGAGAGTAAAGATTTACATCAAGCTCCAACTTGGAAAGCAGCCTTTACAAATATTACCCTTGACTGAGCCTTATATCTTAGTTACATTTTTGGATTATTTTATTATTTGCATCTTGGAGAGATTAAAACACTTCAGACTGACACAGTTCGACTGCATTACACAGGTGAATTTTCCTCTCCTTAAAAAATGGAGATGTAAATTTGATTTTGAATGTTCCAAAAATATATGATTTTTTGGGATTATAAAGCAAAAGGATACTTTTGGAAATGAAGCCTGATTAGCTGCAAAGAGTTGGGAGTAGCCTGACTAGGTTTTAAGACCAGATTTCACTTTTTGCTGAATTCTCCTTACCATGACTGAAAAAAAATTGGGGTGGACAATTATACAAGCCAGTTTCAGGCTGATGCAACTGGATGGGCCCAATCCAGGCTTTTACTAAGAAAACAATGCAGAATTACTGCATTCAGGCACTGAACTGCTTTGACACCACTTCTGGATACCATTTTTGGATTTACCATTAGTGGAAAATTAATAGTAAAGTATTAAACACATGTACTGTAGTATACAGTATATTATGTGTGTATGTGAATAAATAATGTGTATAGTTCCACAATTAAACGTTGTAATTATGGCCTCCTGAAAGACACCCCTTTTCCTAATTAAAGCTCCTCTCTGCAATGATTTAACTCCTCTCATTTGTTTAGCAAGCTTAAATGGTTCTTTTTGTCCTGCTCATGAAAAAACCCTATATAAATGGTAGTCCTAATTTTGATACTGTTTGCCACATGTTAGACATATTTAATATAGTTACTTAATAAGGTTGTTCACAGAAGGAGCTATAAAGGACAAAATATGGTCTGAAATATATGTGGTTGCACATAAAGATACTTCTCAGAAACACCTTAATGCAGACATGTCAAACTCGCAATGTCATGTGATGTCACGCAACGTATCGGAGCTTTTTTGTCATTGCCGGCAATGGAGTGGGCGCGGCTCCGATATGATGAAACCGGCCTGTGGGCTGGCAGTTTGACACCCCTGCCTTAATGCAACTGATTATTTCCCTGGGCTTGTATAGCTAACCCTCTACAGCAGGTGACTGAACTCTTGATAACCAATTTGGTTAAAGTATTGGCCTAGAAACCAGGAGACTGTGAGTTCTAGCCCTATTGTAGGGATGAAAGTCACTTTATGGCAGGCACCCTCTCTTAGCGCAATTCACTTCAAAGGTTGTTGTGGGGAAAATAGGAAGAAAAAAAATATTAGGTATGTTCGCTCTCTTGTGTTATTTATAAAAACAGTAAAGATGGAATATAAATAAATGTTTGGTTTAAGATATTTCTGACAAGTGCTATATGTGTGGCTATGGGTGCCCTAATCATATTTTTCTCTATGAATCCAGAGCTCTCCACCCATCATTTTTAATCTTCTACCAGATAGTTACATTTACATTTCTTCTAGAAAGATGCTCATTCTTTTCAAGAAAAAATATTGCTACTGCCAGCACACTCATTACAATTTTAGTGCACATTACAGTTTTGTTTTCATTTAATTTAACTTAAACAATTTCCAGACAGCCACCAATAACCAATGCATAGTTTTCTTTTCAGATTTCTTAAGAATCCTAAAGCACACTATCTAGCTTTAGTGACTACGAAAAATGCCCAAGACAGGGATTAAAACTTTTTAAATCTGAGAAGTCAACATCTTCATGTTTA